AAAAAAAAAAGCCATACTGAAATAATTTCACTTAGAAGGCTAATTAATAGCAAGTTAAGCTCCACTTGTCATTAACAAAAGAACAAGTGCTTGAAACCAAAACAGCTTACCCAAGCATTAAAAAAAAAAAAAAGAACATCAGAAGGCATTCAGACATCTGAGGGTCGTAGGCTTTGATTTCTGCTGTTGATGGCTCCTTGCAAATAGCAAAATGTAACTGATACACTCATTTCTTCTATTTCTGCTGTGTTCTCTAGGTTCGTGTCCAATACGAATACCTACATTTAATAGTAGTGCAGGAAATCACTGGTGGTTTTAGTAGTTTTCTCCTTTATTCTAGGGACTGGTAAATTGTGTGTGAAGTGTTTTAAACATTACCAAGTGCTGCTTTTCAGTGCTTAGTGACTCTTGTAGTTACCACCTTCAGTTACTCGCATCTCCCCCTGCAGTTCTAAATCAAAAGAAAATCCGAGGAAATGAATTGGATGAAAGAGGAATGATACTACGCACACGCACGCCGACTCTTACAGGAAAGAAATAAATCACTGACTAGTGCCATTTTCATTAGGCAGATTCTGCTGTTTGTTTATAAGACAATGCTGTGAATTATTTATTGCAGTTCAAAGTTATAAAATTCCTTTAAAATAAGTTTTTAGTTCTTTAATTTTGAGCAGTGCTTGTTAAGGGGGCTAAGTCTTGTAAGCACTTTGGAAAAACTAAATCGCAACAGAATTGAAGAAAAAGCTGTATGGCAATTGCAGCTCTGGGTTTTATTTTGGAGATGTGGTTTAATGTAAAAACTCCATACAAGATCCCCAAGCTGGGTGGTCCATAATGACAAGCATTGGCTTAGGTTTGTTTGAGTTGGGGTTAGTTGTTTCCGGCTTTCTTTAATCAAAGGATTGAAGGAGAGTGTAAGAGTGATAGAGGAAATTGGAGTGACTTAGATTTGGAGTTAAGGATGACAATCTCCTCTTCTTCAAACTGGCCTTTTTAACTTACTCGTCCCAGTGCTCGTGCTAATGACTTACAAACTCAACTTCTAAAATAATATTGATTTACTCTAGAATTAGAAAGGGACGTCTCTGAGAGACCCTTGCTGGTCCTGTACAAAGGAAAAGCATCGCCTGGTTTCTGTGCTTCTCCATCACCACAGAGATGTAGCAAGCTAGGTAGCCTACTCGTGAATTCCCTGAGTTAGAGCGTTTAGTTCACGTACCTCTCTTCTTGCAGAAGCTCAAGGGGCCGTTCTGCCTGCCCGTTGCGCTGGAGGTTGGCCCCGCTGGCTGCTGCTCTCTGCCTGAGGCCCACGTTCAGCTCTTCCCCCCGGTGCAGTTTTCTGCACCATATCAGCTTCTGTTAGATGAGAAACTCTTGGCTCACCTCTGCCCGGTGTGCTAGTAAAGTGCTGAGGCTTCAGTGCAAGATTGGTGACGTGCTCGAGTCTTTCAGGGTTAGCAGTCTTGGGACCAATGCCCCAGCAAGCAAGCAGGGTACACAAGTTGCAGTACTAGTGGGCAACCAAATTAAAATAGCATAAAAATAAGATATTGGCTGCATTTAGTACCAGAAATATCCACTGCTTTGTTACCCTCGGATGAACATTGGATTGCCAGTGTTCCAAGACCTCTAGGGGGTGTTTCTAGTAAGAAGCATCTGCTGTGGTGGTGCTGGCACATGGTGATTCTCCTGCAGCTTCAGAAACAAGGCTTTTGTATGTCTGTATGATGAAAGCCCATGTCAGCAGCCCTCTGGTAATGTCTTCTGCTTTATCTCTGACCAGAGAAATTGTCAACCCTGGATGTTGGGGGGGGAGGCTGAAAGAGCTTCTCTTGCCATGATGAAGATGGCAAGAGGGGAGTGGTCTGACGTGTGGAAGAGTGTGGAGGGATTTAAAGACAGGACAAGGGAAAGAAATAAAAGCTTCCGTGTAATAGGGAAGGTGGCCACAGAAATTAAAGCTGGAAAGGAAAAGATTTCAAACTAATCCCCTTTCTAAAGGGATAAAGAAGGAGTGTAAAGAGTGGAAGGGTGGGTGACATACACAGCGTTTTTCTCTTTTTCTGTAGCATGAGATGTACTGTGCAGTGTAGAGGGAGCCTGCGGCAGTTCCAGAGGTTCCTGCCGGCGTGTTGTGCTCTGCCCCACTAGGGAACCTACAGTGTTTTGGCCACTGACCAGCTCAGGCCATGACACCTGCATTGGGTCTTGGCACGTTTGCATGTCCCCAGAAGCTTCCATGGTCACTTCTGCTGAAAAGATCCAGATTTGTAGTGCTGCAACACTCCACAAATGTAATCAAAACATGCTGAGTGGGGATTATTTGGGAGATCCCTTTCAAAACCTTACCACTGGTTTCAGTTTGGAAATTGAAATGCTCATGTAAATGCAGTCACTAAATGCCAAGAGATCTACCTGTATTTGAGGAATAAATAAGACTCCTTCATAGAAGTCAGGCAGTATTTGCTGTGTAGATTGCTTTTCTATTCAAAATTTAATAAGTGTTGCCAATTTTCCTTTATAACATATAGAAACAAATTGAAGCTGGCAAATATTTATTTGACTACAAAAGAAGGTTATAACCCTGGAGACTTTGGATTTCTTGTTTGATATATTACAGCCTAGGGAAACTAGTCAAACCTGACAGTGTCGAATGTCTTGATGGTGTCAAGTTTGTGTTTTTTCCATTCCTGACTTTACTTGCAAGAAGAGGTCATTCCATGAAATTCCCTTTTTTTTGGCTGCCCAAAAAAAGTCAACAGTCTGTTCTGTCTTTGAGACAAATATGGATTGCATGACTTGAATTCTTTCCTTAAATTCGTTTTGTTGACAGGGTCTTGGGTAAGAAAGAGTTGTTTATAGAAGGAGTGAAGTGCAGGAGGCAGTGAAAACTTGCTGCTGAGAGTCATGAGTTCACTAGAGGCTCTTAAAGAGGAGTGGTTGTCCCTCAGTGGCGGCAGCAAGATCCGGTACAGCAGTGAGTCGTAAGTGAATTCCTTCAGCATTAGGTTGCCTGGTTTGGCAAGGAATCAGAATCGTCTTCTGCAATGTTTGCTGCTGCAGAGCCAAACTGAGGCCTCGAGGTGCTGGAGCAACCCCTGTCATCTGCCACTTTCCTGACTTTCCTTCTGGAGTTCCCTTGTGGGAAACTCCTTAACACTGTGCTTCAGCTGTCACGCATTTGGCCTCTTCTATCCTCTACCCTTGGTTGACGTGACTGACCTTGATTCAGGAGGAGGATGTGGAAGAAAATTCACCTTTTGAAAACAAGGAGTGAGAATGCTCATGCCAAAAAACTTACTTTGAGTGTTCAGTCTCGTGGATGAAGGAGCTGAGTTCAGAGAGTGAAGCAGCCTTTTATTTCCCTCAGAATTATCAAAGAGGGGCAGCATGCAAGGATCCATTCTCATTTGCAAAGCCAGCTGCCAGATTGGTTCTGCCTCTCCATCTTCCCCACTGTGTCTACTGCCCCTCTATAGTTAAATTGTGTGTATTTCTGAAGTCCCATCATGCTTCTTTCTATTGAATAAATCTCTGTGCAGTTTCGCTTTGTTATCTTTCAAATAGCTAAATGTTGCGCTTTGCAGGAACAGGGACGTGTGGTGTATAGTGGGCTTTGCCTTCACGAAGTCACTGCCTCTTCCCTGAAGTGACCTCAAGGAAATTTCTTGAGTTTGTGGAAGGCTGATGTAACTCTGAATGTTGCTAGTCTTCTAGCTTTGCAATATGCAGTACTAGAAACATCAGCTACCTCTCAAAGTTGTGGCTGAAAGCAATCTTTTAAGCCTTTCTGTAGACCTTAGCAACAGTTGCAGCAGGACCAAGGCAGACGGACAGAAGCTAATGTTACTCTGCTGATCCTGTTGAAAACTTCGATCTCCTCAAAAAAAAATCTAAGGGTTTTTCTCTAACCTAGAGAAACCTCATCTCCATTGGAGTCATTCTGAACTGTTTCAGAAGCCTTACACAATTTCTGTAGACAAACTTCCTTTTCCTAGTACTGTTCTAACACTTAGCCCCACTGCACTTTTTGTCCTCTGTGTACAGGCCCTTGCAGCTCTCCAGTTGCTTGTATGTAAGTGGATTTTCGAGGAGAGCCTCTGCTCTGGCAGGAGAATTGGGGTGATGTCTTTCCAGGTACATCTGTACTGCTAAACATGCTGCCTCAGGGACTGGTACTTGGTTTATGGACCAAGTGGTGACATTTCTAGTGCCACCTCCAGGGCAATCTGGCCATGTTCATGTGAAGCGGCGGTTTGTCCTAGGTTTCCTTTGGGTCCTGCTTTGTAACCCTGTGGCTCTGAGCCTCGGTCACTGTTTTCCATGTGCAGAATATGTAAACTAAAGGGAATTGGGTTGCCTTAGAGCAGTGTTTTCACAAGAGTGAAGCTAGTGTGATGTGCCTTGGGTACAGGACCATGTGAGGAGGTATAGGGCTGTCTTAAGGTAGACGGTTTCTTGAGATACTGTTGTAGGATCTTCTTGATATCACCTTGTCCATGCTACCTTTTGGGGCTTTCTCTAGAGTGTGCTTGCTTCAGAACCCTCCCTGGGCATCTTTAGAAAAAAAGCTAGAGCGCTGCCTGCAGAATGTAGGAGCAAGCTATCGTGTATCAAGTGGATGTGTATCAAGGATGATGACTAGGATGACTAGTTGAGATCCAGGGATGAACTAAATTATCTGAAACTGCAGACCTAGCTGAAGAGGAGGAATGGCATCTGGTAACAACAGACTGATTTGAATAGTGTTTTGAGAAGTGTGTGGACCCTGGAGTTCTGTATACTGTTTTTTAACTCTATATAATATTATTGTAGTTGCTTTCTTTCCCTTTGTTGCAGTGTCCTGTCTCATTTTAGCCTTTGCAGGCAACTGTGTAGTGTTTGGTAAAGTTGTAATCTTAATGTTTGGAGAGAGAGAGAGAGAGAGAGAGGGAAAAAAAAAAGTAATTTAAGTATCTTAATTTTAACTCTTTCTGCATCATCTTTTTTCAGGTACATGCAGAGCTTCCTTGAGCTTTTAGAATACGAAAATAAAAGTCCTGAGGATCCTCATGTTTTGGATGAGTGAGTAATTTGTTTTCCTGTGACAGTTTATTTTCAAATAATAATCTGTCTCAAAAAATTAAGCAGTGATTTTACTTGCAAGGTAGAATTAATGCAGTAAAGACCAAAATTGTAAGCTAGTTGTGTGTGGAAAATGCAAATATATTTAAACAGTATATGTTGTATATATACAGTCTACTAAATTAAGAAATGTCATGAAATATTTCCTCTGAGGCTATATTAAAAAGGCAATGTGCATGCAAGAATATATTCATGAATTCATATATTCAAACTTACATCTAAATGTCATTACTTACATCTAAATTGTCACGCCAGTCAAACTTACATCTAAATTGTCACGCCAGTCTTCAAAAAAGGCAAGAAGGAGGACCCAGGCAACTACAGGCCAGTCAGCCTCACCTCCGTTTTATTAAGCTCAGTATCCTGCTTTATGTAATGTATATTAGCATATTACTGCTGTGAAATTTTAAATTGAAAGCACTGAATATGTCAGTATTTTTTTAATCTAAAAACAACAGTAACTTCTTACAAAATTGCATTAGAATTTTCCTTTGAAATTTGTGGGGATAAAACAGGTTCAGAAGAATGTGCAAGTGCAGACAGATGCACCACTGTGTGTGTGTGTGTGTGTATTTGTATGTGTGCATATGCATGCACACACACGTATCTATAGGTATTAGAGTAATAGCGAAATAAAGATGATCTATACTTACCTTCTACTGTACAGCACTCAACTTTATTTCAGGTGATTAGTTCTTGCAAATTTTTTGCTTTTAAACTTGAATTCTCTTTTAGGCTCTAGATACTATCTGACAGAACATGGGGTGCTTGATAGTGATGTTGAGAAAATGTTTGCAGCCCAATACAGTAAATGCTTTGTGCGAGACTTGACCTGTGTTGTGCAAAAGTAATATTTTTGTCTTTATCCAGTCTTAATGTAACTGAAAAACAGTGCAAGCCTAAGATTCGTTAACTGTTACATTAGCTTTGGCAGGGGTTTTGCTAGGTAATGCATTTGATGAGTTTTGCTAGGTAATGCATATATTCTTTGCGTTGTGGGGATATTTTCTGAGTTCACTTTCTTTTTTAAGGGCAAAGTTCATGCAGGAGAAAATAAAGTGCAGAAAAAACAGATTAGCTGAGTTGCAGGAAGAGACACAAGGATTTAGGCTGAGTGAGTCAACTGTAGCATTATTGAGCAAGCAGAAAGTAACTGTGTTCTCCATGTAAATTCTGAGCCAGGGCTCAGTTCTGGGTGTAACCTGTTAAAGAATTAAAATGTAAATGGACAGTAGCAAAGGAAGAAGTTCAAGAATTAAAGGCTTGGAAAGCTCTACCTCAGAAAAGTTCAAGGGATTTGTTTAGACTAGCAAAAAGATTGAAGAGACTCTGGAAGTCTGTGAGTAGAAAATATGCTGTAAATAAAGCAAGATCAGTTGTTCTACACGAGGAAAGGAGAGAATTATAAAATAGCCAATCTTTTGAGACTCTGAACAGGGCAAAAAGTCTGAATTCTGAGATTAGTGGAACAGGTTGAAACAGATTGTCAGAAGGCTGTAGAGAGTTCTGTATTGAAAGGTTTTTAAGAACAGGTTAGACATTTTTGGTAATGATTAAGTGACAAGCTTATTCTGTAATGGATGAATTGGATGATCTCTTTCACCACATCTAGTTGTTACTTTCTGTGATTCTGTATTCACAGGTTGTTTGCAGATGGGTGAGAATTTTTGCTTTTGGCTAGCTTGCTATAAGGTTTCCTACTATTTGGCTTAAAAGAACATTTTGAGTGGGATTAAGTTACTGAATGTTACATGTTTGCCCTTTGAGATGTCATGTGTTGTCTTAGATATCTAAGTGAGCCTGGCAAATTTAACATAGATTTTAAGAAACCTGTAGTGTTCTGAATGTGCAGCTTGAGGCACAGTTGTTATGAAACTTCTAGTATCATTTATGTTCTGTATTTAGATAACTTAATTTCAGTTTTTTGTGGACTTCAGAAGTTTAAGAAAGATCAAAATAGTCAAATGTTTTTAAAATGCTTGATTTTTTGGAAAGTTTCCATGGGAACATGTTTTTGGAGCCTGTTCAAGATGCCAGGCATGTTATCTAGCTTTATCACAACAGACATTCCTGCCACAGTTTTATTGTAATGAAAAGTTTTGTTTGAGATCTTCTAAATTAGGATGTACCAAATAATTGCTCATTCACAATAATTGTTGAAATCTTTAAAATCTTGCATTTATAAAGATGTTGGGAACTTATTGCTACCTACTGAGATAAAGTCCAGCTAGGGATTCTGACAGTGAAAAGAGATAAAACACAAATTATCCGATTAAGGATAAAATTTATTCTTATTGACAGCACTGGATAGCTACTTAATATGAGAAACTCAGATTGAACTTTCTGCTCTTTGCATGTCAACTCTTCCTAGCATTCTGAAGGCTATGGCAGTTAATTAAGTCTTGACCTGTAATGAGCAATTAATTCAATATTTGTGGCCAACTGAGTCTTTTTAAAATGTCTCTTGAGAAAGGTGTCCACATTTCAGTTGCAGTAGCCCAGCAGAATAAAGCTAAAAAAATTACTCAACTGCCATGCCAGTGTGCTGTATTGAGAGGTCTGGCCCTGTCCTACTTTTTCATATCTTTGTGCTCAGAGCAGAAGTGGGAGCACTGGGGGACTCTACTAGTTAATGAGGTACTTACCACTGGGGAAAAAATGAATTCAGAGAGATCAGTTATGTTTACATAATACTTTTCTGTTCTCTGTAATTCCATGCATCATTAAATTCAGAGTTTGACCCATTATCTGCAACTTTGTGGGGAGTGTTTTTAATGATGCATGAATAGCAGTGGTAATTTTCCTCACCTGAGCAGTTTGTTTAGAGAAGGGCACATGGAAGTTCACACTGTGAAGTGTCCCCAGTCCTTAGAACCAGTGCCTTTCTTATCCTAACAGTGTGTGGTAAACATCTCCTAGGCATATGCTGATGTATACAGAGGGGTTGGAGCCTAATCCATCTGCTGATGCCTCTCAGCTGGAGTCTGGCTCCTGCACTGAGCTGTAGCTGCTAGCTTCAGATTGCAGAAAAGCTGCTAAACCCAGACCTGCCTCCCTGGGGCTCTGGACATCACGTTGCCCATCTCTGTTATGTGATACCTCATGGGGCACTGACTGGTGCACTTCATGGTGGGCCCATCTCTTCTTCCTTTAACTTAGTATTTGAAAACTCGAGTCTGCCCAGGAGGAAAATTCTTCAGCCCCAAGAGCTTTTGGTTGGAGTGGAATGTGGTGTCCACTTCTGACTCTAAAAATCATGAACATTTCTAAAGTTGATTTTATTTTTTGTAATGGAATGAGCATCCTGCTGGTCTTATGGTCAGCTGAAGTGGACCTTGCCATCTTTTAGAGGTAGTCAAGTTAACAATATCTAAAGTGATAACCACTTTGTGAGAGGTTTGATATCCACAGGTCGCCCAGTTCTGTCATTGCTCTGGACTACTAAGAACCAAAAGAAATACTCTGGTGTCACCAGTACCACTGTATTTGAGAGAGATGTCGAGTAGTCCTGTTGCGTCCCAGTTTTTGATGTCAGTCATGTGATGGCTTGAGAGTTGTTGTTGGTCTCAAGTACCTGCCAACAGTCCCCAAAGCTTCCTTTTCATCAAGGTGGAGTTGTGGCGTTTGTTTGCTTTTTAGTACCTCTCTTCCTCGGTAAATTCTAACCTCTCTTAAAGAGCTCTGAGATTTTCCTAGTCCTCTTTTTAGGACAGAGGCTACGTGTTGTCTCTTTGGCTGACCGCTCAGCCTGGACTGAGGCCAGGTTGGGTGCTCAGGGCTCAGCTGTGACCTCTCAGTAGCTGGAGCATTTTGTTCCTGCACTCTCCTCTGCTCACATTGCTCGATTCTTTTTTAGAGATGCTCTTTACACCCTTGTTGTGGTACACATAAAAATGTCCTCTGCCTGTTTGTGCCACATCATATGTCTGCTTGCCCAGGGAGCCCATTCGGCTATGCTGAGAATCCAGGGTGGTTTTCTCAAGGAGACATGTCAGAGCCCTGGGATTAGGAGTGTTGTCCATGCGCTGGCATAGCTGTCTGTGGAGCCATACCACAATGTGAGTTTGGGCTTGGTTTGACTGAAAAATACCCATATTGGTCCCTGATCATTGCCCCACACGGCTTACACACAAGCAGCAGTGCAGGCGCCTGAAGGGCGTGAGCAGGTATCGTCAGGGACAAAAATAAATGCTTGTGTTGAGAAACTGCTCGTCAGACTGGCCCAGTGTGTCTGCTCTCACTGCGTGGATTTGGGGATGTCCATTCTAAAATACGTCGCCTTCTCATGTACCTTGGATAAAGCCTTTAAAAGGGGCTGCGCGGCGCAGCAGTTCCGAGGCGCTTGGCTTGCTGGGGCTCCCCGCTGCTTTGCGGCCTGCCCCCTTGCCAGGGCAGCGTGGCCCCCGCTCGTACGGGCACGTGGCAAACCCTCCAAAACCCCTGCGCGTCTGTCGGCAGGAATCTCCTCCCTGGAGCTGCGGAGGGGCCGGCTGGAAGGCGCCCGTCCCGCTCGCGGCAGGCCGGGCGGCTGCACGCGTGGGTGCACGCTGGGCAGTGCGTGAGAGCCGCCGGCGTCGTCGCGGCAGCGCCTCCCCTGCATCCGCGTGTGTGCAGACAGACACACGGAGAAGGGCTGTTCTCCTGAGCCTGAAGGGTTTGCAGCGTGTGCTGCATGCATTCAAACACTGAAGCAGATTGGATTGGGAAGATACTGTTTTATTGCTTCGAAGTGAGGGAAATACTACCTTTTAGTGCTTCTATAATGCTTTTTATTGCTACTCTTAAAGTAATTACACTTTCTAGTAGAGAAATCTTTTCAGAGCGTGAACCTGTCTTGTGATTCTCAACTAGCAGAAAGCACCTCTTAAAAATGAAACAAGAAACAAACAAAAACGCAAAGCAAACCTCATGTACAAAACCCCCAAGCAAAAAATCCCATGGCTTGTGTCTTGCACTTAAAATGTGGATTTTTTTGATTGCCTACTTTGTTTTTCTCTATTTCTTCAGATAATACTGTCCATAAATGGACCTAGAAAAAATCCACCTGCCTTCATATTGATAAATGTTTTTGTCTCCTTTTCATATACTGTGATGGATCAAAACAGAATAATACGTAGTTATTAGAAAGTTAAATAGTAACTCGTGGCATCTGTTAATTGCCTTTGCAGAAATCTATGGGCTTTATTTAATAACTGTGCTGATGTCTCCAGCATTCTTTCGTTGATGCGTAGGCCACTGAAGCTCAATCAGCTGAAATAGCTTCATTTTGGTAACTTCTCATCTGTCAAGCTGCATTATTTATTCAATGTGGTTTTGTAAAGATAACACACAAGATTTTGAAAAATTAAAGTTAATAAGTCAAACAATTTTCAGAAATATCACACAGTTGCATTTTCTCAGCCAATCCAATGAGATCATTTAAAAAAGATTCTTTAATGCCTTTTTGCGAAGTAGGGGTACAATGAAAGCTTCAGATGCCCTTTTTGGGTGCAGAGGAGAAGAGGAATGTCAGGATTAAGGGGATATGCTTAGATCTGACTCCAGCCTCACCACCTTTAACGTGCGTATTTGCTTCCATGTGTTTGGTCTTTCAAAAGCACCTAGTTCATGGAAACACTTGAGGGGAATGGGTCTCTTTGAAGGACCAAACAGGAGGCCGTGCTACCGCGGTAATGCCGAGGAGCTCCTTTGCTGCGTGTTGGCACTGCTTTGAGCGTGGGCTGTAATGATTTGCTACCCAGGGACAGGTGACAGGGGAGCCCCTTGGGCAGCTGCAGGTGGCAGGGCCAGCGAGCCCTGTTGGGACGTGCGGGCAGGGATGTGGGCACTGCGGTAGGGGAGCAAAGCTGCCAGTGAACGAGCAGCCAGTGCTGTTAGTTGCTGGGGTTTAGGCGCTGTGGTTGTCGGCGTCGCTTCTCATCTCTGTTTCAAGCTGGTGTCTCGCTCCTGCCCGGAGAGCCGGCACCGCCGTCCCCGCGGGAGCAGTGCCGTGGTGCCCAGCGCCGCGGTGCCCAGCGAGGTGTCCCGGGCTGAACGCGCCGCGGCGCGTCGTCACCTCCGCGCTGTCCGGGAAAAGGTCTGCTTTGGAGAACTTATTTCCAAGGCAGCACGGTCATCAGTATGAAACGTCCCAAAAAACAGTAGCAGGAAAACCACATTTTACACCATTGTGCTCTTCTGCAACCAAAACTGTTCTGCCATTCGCAGCCGTGAAGCACAGAAATGAAAACTGTAGAAACCTTTGTTCCTATTCAACTCTCAGGTCTATGTGACTACAGATTGCATAGAATCAAGATTTAATAAATATAAAAGTAGTCTACAAACCTTTTAAGCATTAAAATGGTTTAAGATGTTCTGTCAGCAAGATTGATAAGTAGGTAAAAACAGTGTTCTTTACTGTGTAAGTCTTTGGATTGGGGAATTAGGCAGTTAAGACTTCCCCTTTTGTATGCAAGGAAGTATGTTTTGGAAGACTAATGAATTGTTTAATACATTTGCAAAAGCTGATGATTAGAGAGAGGATGATGAAAAAGCTGTTCAGAAAGAATCCTACATTCCTTTGCAGCTGGCAGTGTAAAGTGAGAGAAATCACTTTAAAAGCTCTCCTACTTGTTAAGAATGGTATGTTTTACTTTCTATCTTCTTGGGCAACTGGTTGTGAAAAGGAAAGAAGCATCTGATTTAAATCTAGTGGCAGATTGGTGGCTGCTTTTTCTTTTCGGACAAAACACACCAATTATCACATTTTCTGGGTTTGCTATATATTTACTGAAAAATTTTTGCAGGCTTTTTTTAAAAAAAGGGATCTGTAATATTGCAAATGTAAGCACAACCTAACAAGTTCTGTTTTCTTGGAAAGTTCGCATTTTATCCTGTGTCTTATTTTTAAGATGAACATATAATCATTATGGTGTTTATAATCGGTTACTATTAGAGAATGTGAATATTAGAGTTGAGTAGTGCTGACTTTTCACGTGCAGGCTTTAGAAGGCTATTAATATCCTGTTTAAAGCGTGTACGAGTTTGCATTCCAAAAGAAAGGATGAGCACTTTGAAGCTCGTAAGTGTTAAGCTGCCTTGACAGGAAAAACGGGAATTCTCCAAGCTGTTGCACATTAGGTACTGGTAAAAGCCATAGAAGTCATAGCCTAAACCTTCTGGACCTGCTGCAGGGAAGGAGCCTTAGGAGGAAAAGAAAGAAAGAAAGCGGGATTGTATGTGTTGTGCCATCCAGCGGTCTAAAAGGAAACTGAACACGAGGCGCACAGGTAATTGCCTGTCCTGGTGTGCAGGCTGGTCAGAGTAGATGCTGGGTAAAGGAAATAAGTTCTTGGAAGGAGGTATAAAGTGTGAAACCTCTCAGGAAATTGTGAAAGGTTGTCAGGTCGTTGGCTTCTGCCTGGGGAGAACAAGAACCTCTTGTTCTGAGTTATTAGTGAGAAGAGATTTTATTTAAATAAAGTTTTGTGGGGAGGAAGAATTGAATTTGAGGCCCTAACTACATCACCCTCGTGAGAGGTTGATGTTGTATTTCCCTTTCAGTAGACTTTTTAAGCTTGATTTTTGACTTTTCCCTTTTGATCATTCTATATTGACTGCGAGGGATAATAAATAACGGATAAACTGATAATGCTGTGAGGAGTTGAAAAAAGCAGCTGGGGTTAATTATACTCTTAACATTTTGTTTCCAATTTTGTTTCCTTTAGCTTTTTAGACGTTTTAATTAAAGTCAGGAACAGACACAATGATGTGGTTCCGACCATGGCGCAAGGGGTGATTGAATACAAGGAAAAATATGGCTTTGATCCATTTGTTAGCAGTAACATCCAGTACTTTCTAGATAGATTCTACACCAACCGCATCTCTTTCCGTATGCTTATTAACCAACACAGTAAGTAATTGCTTTTTTCATCTTCGAGATCTCATTAGTTGTTGCCTGTAAACCTGACATAGCTTTGGTTTTGGTATTTTTCGTACTCATGACTAACTCTTACTATTCTGCACTAATTATGGTAAATGGTATAGTGACAACTAGTTATTTTTGTACTTTGTTTCAGTTCCAGAAAAAAAACGAACCCAAATGCACCAGCACTCTTTCTTCCAGGGTTGTCTGGCTTTCAGTGTGGCTGTCACTTTTCAATCTCTTTGGCAGGGACACCCTGTGTAGCGACACGTCAGCTATTTTTAGGTAGTGATGGAGCAGCCATATCTTTCTGCTCACAAATCTATCAGCATAGTTTGTCAAGTTGACATTTATTTCATCATCAAACGCAAGGTTGCCAAAAATTTTGAAGGGATTGTACACTATATGTACTTTCATTGTTAATTTTTAATCAATTTATCTGGATTTTTTTCTTCCTGTCTAAAGGAGTTTAGTGAGTTGAGTTTGTCTAACTAAAGTTTTAAATTATCACCTTTATCTGACTGTGCTTTGCACTCCCTATTTATGAATAAATAGGAAAATTAGTCCTTCTTTGTCATTAGGTTCTGTTTGTTTAGTAATGTTGCTAATAAGCTTTTAAAAATGTGTTCATGTTACGGACTAAAAGGAGTTGCTCGCGCAGCTCCTGATGACTGGTATGTGCCGCTATGTAAAAGCTGGCCCGAACGCTGTGCCGATCCCCTCTGGGATCCTTGTGGGGCTCCTTTGCCTTTAGCTCTGCGGCTTCATTGAGGCCCAGCGTTCTGCTCCCACGAGCCCTTAGAATACAGCCCCCACGGCAGATAGTGGGGAACGAAACATGAGCAGCGTAAGGCGTCTTCCTCCAAGCTTTATGCTTTCCTAATAACTTTTATGTGATCAGCAAATGCCTTATTATGGGCAAATAATGTCAGTGTGGCACAGCATATGAGTTAAGATACATATGCAACTTTCTTTACTTATGGGCAGACAAATGTCAGAAGCAAAACAATCCACAGGCCTTCCTCAGGAGAGTGCTAACAATAAGTCAAAGATTCACCCTAACAGAAGTTCTAGACCAAGTAGGAACATAGTTTGCATTAGTTCTAAAATACTAAGTTTATTTCACCAAACTGAAGTTGCTTTTCCCATCAGCATTCTCATTTAACCTGCACCATTTTAAAGGTGCTTAAAGTTCCCCGTGCTAACAAACCGTAGTGATCTAGCCCTGATAGCAAAAACCAATCTCAAAACCTGGAAAAGAAAGAAAGCATTCGGAAAGCAGAATGTGGAAGGAGGTTTTGTGAGCCGGTTCCTCCCGGCCCGGCCGTGGGTTGCGCTGCGGGTGCCCAGGGTGCCGGGCCTGCGCGTTAGGCTGCCCTCGCTGCGGCCGGGGAGGCCTCAGCCGGGCCGCTCGCATCCCGCCTGCTGCCTCTGCTGCTCTCCGGGCTGACGAGCAGCCAAGCAGGTGAAAACTGCCCCTGCAGGAAAGTATGAAGTACTGCTGCCTTTTTAGGAGCTGAACCGGGCGGCCGGAGGCTCTGGCGAGTGGCAGACCTTGTGCAATGGAGGGAGCGGGGAATGCCCTGCTGAAAGGCAGGGAGGAAGCGGACAGAGAGACCTCCCTGCCCACCGTGCAGCTGCAGCGTAGGTGACTGCAAAAGGCTTTAACGCCGTCGTTTTAGGGTTCCCCAGGCCTTTTTATTGGCATTTTCATGTCACCTGCTCCTGTACTGGCATAATGGTATGAATGAAGCATTTTACAATTGTATCCAGTTTGATAGTCCAGTTTGAAATGGAGATTTTCTTCTTAACCCTCCCACACCTTTATTTCTATATTAATGATTTTTAGTGATTGGGAGGGCGAGGGAGGAATGGGGTAGTTTTCTTAAACAAGGATTTTGACAGTTGGAAAGAGCATCTTTTTACAAAATGATATGCAACCCAGTAAGCTTCAGATGTTGCCTGATTTAAGTTGCTCATGCTGCTTCAAGTGTATTAGAAAATTGACTGCCATTTCCTTTTCCTTTTAGCACTTCTTTTTGGAGGCGATATTAATCCTGCTCATCCCAAACATATTGGAAGTATTGATCCTAACTGTAACGTGGCTGAGGTGGTTAAAGGTAAGGGGATCAAGCCAATACTTGTGTTGACCAACCATTTCCACTCCTCAAACTTAAAATACGCATACATTTATTATTCAGATATGAAAAACTGAATATTTGTCTACTTGATAAACTGAAAAAAAAATCTTCAGTCACTTTCTAAAACTCATGGGTTTAGTGTTTCTAAAGTTTTCATGAGTAGACAAATGTTTCTTATAACTTGAATCTGTCATTTAGTATCAGACTAGATATCTTATTTTTTTGTTAAACCTTAAGTGGTTTTGATTCCAGAATATTTAGGGGTAGATTCTCAGGTACTGCTGTTTTATTTAATACTAGTACTGAAGAAAATTAATGACAAATGCAATTTTCTTTTTTTCCTTAAGCAGAGATTTAATAAATGTCCTCAGGTGAATGGATATTTCAGTGAAACACCATGTTTCCTCATGTAGCCCGTTTGCATCTGAGTGTATAACAGTCTGTTCTCAGCACAGAAAACCTGTGTGTCATGAGTATCAGAAAAACCTGGTGCTTTCTCATATGAAATCATCCTTAATGTTATGAATGTTTGTATGCACATTTGCTTGAGGCAGTGTTGCCCCCTTCAAGAACTTGCTTGAAGATTCACACTCTGGGTGTATATTTTTATAAATAGCTTTTTCTGTAGTAGCTAGTCCTGCCCTTCAGCCTTGGCTGCTGTGTATGTGTTTGCAAGTGGAGAGGGAAAAATGTGTTTCTCCCTCAGGCTTTCTCAACTTTTGGTAAAGCAAGCAAGAAAACAATCTACGGCAGAATTTGACCTGCTTGATAGCCTCTTTTGGTAGTGTAGATACTTTTTGCTGTTATCAGGGCTTCTTGGTTTCCAGCCCTTTGGCTTTAAAGCAGACTCTTTTTCAAACCTTTCTTTTTTTATCTTACTCTGCTGTATAGCATAGCTTTTTTTGCAGGTTTGTTTATCTTAATACTCCTTCCAGTAGCAGTGTTTGAATCCATTTTAACATAAAATTCCTAGTTGCCATCTGCCTTAGACAGGTGCTCAGTCCAGCTCTTAAGCTAAGAACTGAGATCTGCATGTGAAGAACCTGCCCACAAACGAGGAGTCGTGACCCAGTGTTGTCTTTCAAACAGTGATGGTGGTTTTCTTTTAGACCTGGTGGGAGGGTTCATTTGTATTCCAAAAATGTTCTGGTGCACAGGTGGCATTTGGAGTAATTTGTCAGAGTTTAGATGTCAATCTTGGCACTGCATGTAGTAACAAGTAGCTCTGTGTGCACCTTTAAACCACTTCTTTCAGCTTTGAGGAGCTTCCCTTCAAGGCAGCTCTGCTGAGGATTCTGTGTAACTGCCCAGGGTGGGTCTCTAGGGCTCCTATTGACTGGCCAGCAGTAAGCTTATTTTTGTCCTGGGAGCAGCTCCAGGCTTGTTCCTGGAACTGGGCTTTAGATGTACTGACAGCTCTTGCAGTCTGCTGCTGTTTACCTCTGGCCACAGCACGAGGAATGCTTTGAACGTTATTACGACACTGTCTCTGCTGCAGGCTTAGGCCGCAGACAGAGCTGGGTTTTAGAGGCGAGTAGGCTCCAAGATTTCACTTTTTTTTTTTTTTTTTTTTCCTCCTCTTCTGGGCAAAAGGTGGATCATAGGAGGCCTCCGTGTTCATCTCCAGAGGTAGAGTTTCAGGGTGGCCGCTTGAAAGAGGTGGATGTTCAGCTTGGGGAGGCTACGTGTGTTGATTCACAGAAGCTTTGTCCCCTCAGCATTCCTGTAGTGGCTGAGTGTTTTTGCAAAGGAGTTAGTGAGCATTAAGAATCATTTAGGCAAGAGTACAACTTGAACTTCCTTGTTTCCTGGATGTACCTTGGAAAAACTGAATTTATGATTATTCATATCGTCCTTTCTCGTCCTCTTATATTTGAGTTTAGAGGACATACCAAACAAGCAGATATTATGGTTAACCTATTATTAGACCCTTCCTTTAGGTTTTCAAACCCTGAGCAAAGAAGAAAAAAATAGCTGGTCTCCACTAACCTTCTTTTGCTTATAGAACTCTAAATGGAATATGCCCTTGCTTGACTATGGGCTATGAGTATGCAGACAAAATTGATCAAGCTTTGCATTTGTAAACCTGTGCCTAAAGTGAGTGTTCTCCTTGTAGCCTTTCCGAGGCAGGCTGAACGGTGCTGGTGTCTCAGACAGTTTTCATAAATTGGTGCTCTCTTCTTTTTTAGATGCTTATGAAACAGCTAAGATGTTATGTGAGCAGTACTATATGGTTGCACCGGATCTGGAAGTTGAAGAATTCAATGGTAATTGTGAAATTCATTTAATTCTTAGATGACATATTTCAGAAAGAACATCTCGCCTACCTCTGATGTCCACCTTTATTTTATTAACTTTAAGTTATAATTGAAACCCTGCAGTGCCATGTGCAGAGTGCCTTCTTTCTCTCAATTCATCTGCATGGGCAGCTGAATCTTGGTTTCTTGTGATGAGGTGCTGCTTAACTCTTGGTGCTGCATGCAGAGCCCCAGCTGCTGCAGGGGTGTCCCTCGGAGGCGGGTGGGAATCCTCCTTGCTCAGGAGGCAGCCTGCCTGCCGCAGACCTTTCCGTGAAGCTGGACTAAGACTCGTTTCCGTGTGCGCTTGTACATCCCCGCTCAGCCGGTGGGCTGGGATGGCCGACCCCTCCGTGCGAGGTGGCAAGATACAAAATACGGGGGCACATAACAATATTGTCAGTACTGATCACTGCTTAATGCAGTTTCATATCTAAACAAAGCCTGCTGACATGGTTGACTCAAAATCAGGAGATTAGTGTCTTTTAAGGTGATGCCTGTAACTGAAATGTTGTGTTTTCAGTTCATGCAGCGTGAGGCACTGAGGGACGTGGTTTAGCAGGGAGGGTGGTGATGGACTTAAGGGTTGCACTTGATGATCTTGACGGTGTTTTCCAACCAGAGTGATTCCATGGTTCTATGTTTGCCCTTGGAAAATTGGGCATAATTGTTTAAAGCTTCGTATTGTCACTCTAAATAGAAATGCTGCAAAGGGTTGTTTGATATCTCTTTCCTTTTTTATAGCTAAAGCTCCAAACAAGCCTATTCAAGTAGTTTATGTACCATCTCATCTGTTTCACATGCTATTTGAATTATTCAAGGTAGGTTGTGCTTTTTAATATTTGGAAGTGTTAAAGTTGGTGAACTTACAGCACAGATATAATGAAGATTCTTTTCAGTTACTCTTAAATGTTATTTTGGCTTTCCTTTCTTAAGCTTAGTCTTAGCCAGTGAAGATTATTTGAAATTGTGATGAAGGCTTGACATGGAACCCTCTGGCACCAATCCATAGTAAAGGATTTTTTCCATGGTTTTCCCATTTTTCCTTTTGCTGCCGATCAGTTTAAAGCAAGTATAATCAATCTAGCTTTGCACTGATGATGCATGATAAGGCCTTACAATTTTCAAAAACTTGCTGCTTTGTTGTGGACTTGAGGACTGGGTAGGATGCATGTCCTGTGAGCACTGGGAGGGTAGTCAGTTTAGACAGTTTAGATGGCAACTGCTGGTCTTTTCTTTGCTCCCCTGGTTGTTTGGGCAAGGGTGCAAAACCCTTGGACAAGTGGAACATGGGAGAGCTGAGGGCCAGTGTTTGGCCTCGGATGGGGGGCGCCTGCGTGGTGCAGCCGAACATACGAGTAACTCGTGAAGAGCAACGCGTTCAGTCAAAGGGCATCTCCTCCGAAATAACGCGCTTTGGTTTTCGTTTCCACCATCTGTCAAGCAAGTATGGTAACACTAGAAGCTACGTGTATCGGAATCCAAGACACTGTTTTATTCTTTTAACTTCAGAACTCAATGAGAGCTACAGTAGAGTCGCATGAAGGTAAGAAAGAAGGCTATCCATCAATCAAAACCTTAGTCACTTTGGGGAAAGAAGATCTATCTATTAAGGTAAATGTCTAACAATATGTTCTTAAACAACTTATGAACCTCTTAAGTTTAGAATAAACTTCTAATTTGTAAAGGAATTAAGTTCTCTATGATTTCTGCCATTTATTTCATATGCACGAATATTTCTTAAATCATTTAGCTTCTTGGGTTTTGCACTTTATTTTTTTTCTTTTCAGAACATGATGTTTAAAAGTTCTAACTTTTCATTCCCTAGATAAGTGACCAAGGAGGAGGTGTACCTTTAAGAAAAATAGACAGATTGTTTAACTACATGTACTCAACAGCACCCAGGCCTAGTTTGGAGCCATCAAGAGCTGTGCCTCTGGTAAGCAATTGTAACACTTATTTAACTCTGCCTCGGTATGGCTCTAGTCGTGCCTTTCTCTTCACTGCAACCGACTGGATCAGTTTTTCCATTGAAGAAATTGTCTGTCATTAGTAATTTTGTGCAGATTTTCATACCAGGAGAAAATGCAGTCTATATTTGGAGCACAGAATTGCATTTCTTTGTCTTGGCCATTATATTCTTGGAAAGAAGCTATTCTTTGTTAGCACAATGTTCTGGCAGATTAATGGACAGGATTTCCTAATACTTTGTTACTAAAAAGGTAGATAACTTAGAGCTGCTGCTTTGTGTGCGGATTCCTGGAGTAAATATTTGTAACTTTACTAGCATCATCCTTCTCACTGCCTCCCTTGAGGTACTTATAGACACTGATCAGGTCTCCTTTCAGCCTTCTCTTCTCCAGGCTGAACAGGCCCAGCTCCCTCAGCCTCTCCTCATAGGGCAGATGTTCCAGGCTCCTGATCATCTTTTTCTTTTTTCCTTTTTTCCTTTTCCTTTTTTCCTTTTCCTTTTTTCCTTTTCCTTTTTTCCTTTTCCTTTTTTCCTTTTCCTTTTTTCCTTTTCCTTTTTTCCTTTTCCTTTTTTCCTTTTCCTTTTTTCCTTTTCCTTTTTTCCTTTTCCTTTTTTCCTTTTCCTTTTTTCCTTTTCCTTTTTTCCTTTTCCTTTTTTCCTTTTCCTTTTTTCCTTTTCCTTTTTTCCTTTTCCTTTTTTCCTTTTCCTTTTTTCCTTTTCCTTTTTTCCTTTTCCTTTTTTCCTTTTCCTTTTTTCCTTTTCCTTTTTTCCTTTTCCTTTTTTCCTTTTCCTTTTTTCCTTTTCCTTTTTTCCTTTTCCTTTTTTCCTTTTCCTTTTTTCCTTTTCCTTTTTTCCTTTTCCTTTTTTCCTTTTCCTTTTTTCCTTTTCCTTTTTTCCTTTTCCTTTTTTCCTTTTCCTTTTTTCCTTTTCCTTTTTTCCTTTTCCTTTTTTCCTTTTCCTTTTTTCCTTTTCCTTTTTTCCTTTTCCTTTTTTCCTTTTCCTTTTTTCCTTTTCCTTTTTTCCTTTTCCTTTTTTCCTTTTCCTTTTTTCCTTTTCCTTTTTTCCTTTTCCTTTTTTCCTTTTCCTTTTTTCCTTTTCCTTTTTTCCTTTTCCTTTTTTCCTTTTCCTTTTTTCCTTTTCCTTTTTTCCTTTTCCTTTTTTCCTTTTCCTTTTTTCCTTTTCCTTTTTTCCTTTTCCTTTTTTCCTTTTCCTTTTTTCCTTTTCCTTTTTTCCTTTTCCTTTTTTCCTTTTCCTTTTTTCCTTTTCCTTTTTTCCTTTTCCTTTTTTCCTTTTCCTTTTTTCCTTTTCCTTTTTTCCTTTTCCTTTTTTCCTTTTCCTTTTTTCCTTTTCCTTTTTTCCTTTTCCTTTTTTCCTTTTCCTTTTTTCCTTTTCCTTTTTTCCTCATTCCATTAGGGCCCATGGATTTGTGGGTATCGAGTTTCCTTAGGTGCTCTCTGACCCAATCTTCCTCTACCCAGGGCAAGTCTTCCTCTCTCCAGGCTTCTTCTCTTGTCCCTAGGGCCTGGGGCTCTAAAGGGCTGCCCTTGGTAAACACCGAAGCAAAGAAGGCATTGAGCAACTCTGCTTTTTCTGTGTTATTTGTAACCACGGCACCTACCCCGTTCACCAGTGGACCCACATTTTGCGTAATCTTCCTTTTGTCATTGATATATTGGAAGAAGTTTTTCTTGTTATTTTTAACACCTCTTGCCAGATTTAATTCCAGTTGTGCCTTGGATTTCCTCGTCACATCCCTGCATTCCCTGACAACATTCTTGTCCTGTCCTTTTTTCCACTTTCTGTATAGTGCCTTTTTCTGTTTGAATTTTGCCAGCAGCTCCTTGCTCATCCACACAGGCCTTCTGCCCTCGCTGCCTGACTCCTTACTCAAAGGGGTGCAGCACTCCTGAGCATGGAGGAAGTGCTACTTTAATACTGACCAGCTCTCGTGGGCCCCCCTTCCTTCTAGAGCCCTAGCTCATGGGATTCTTCACTCCGATGTGTTTGTTTACTGAACTGTAGTGTAGTGTGAGAAGATGTAAATGTTTCTGCCCTAGCACTGCCTTCAGCCCTGCTCCGTGTTACTACAGGTTCCCCTGTCTAGTTTATGAAATGTTCATTGACTTGGAGGTGTGGAAGAGAGGGATCTCTGGTGTTGGAAAATAATTTCAGTGTTATTGCAAATGTGGTTTTGAATCACCTAAGAAATGTTGTTGCCATGGCAGCGTTCAGATTTTAGCAGGTTTGGGGTTTGTGTGTAGCATTACAGGCACAGTGGAATCAGTAGAAGTGCATGGTAGTGTCTAATGCTGATTGGGTTGGGGGGCTTCAACCATTCTCTTTGGTTTTCTGAACGTCTGAAGTGCCTCGTTCTTTCTGTGGTCTCCTTTGCCCTGTGCGTGGTCCCTTTCAGAGGCCTGTGCTTTGGGGGGCCCGGCCGTGCTGCTCTGGCCAGCCCCAGCAGCCCGGGGGGATTCGAGTGGGCAGCCCAGCACGCAGCCCGGTGCATGGCCTGAGGAGCAGAGCTGTGGGGGAAGGTCTGGGCGCGCTGCCTGCCATGGGGCACGCTTGTGTGCCGGGTGCGATGACCCCTCCTCAAGAGGAAGGGCTAGGAAGGGGGTGAGGCTTTTGCCTTGCTTGCAGCCACCGTCTGAAAACAGAGGTTTAAAAATGTAAAGTTTGTAGCTGTCAAGTCTGTTGTGCTGTGAGACACAGCCTGGTCTGTGCGGGCTTTTGATCTTCGGCAGTTGGTCCGCAGCCCTGTGCGCTGCCCAGCCCCGGGCGGCAGCAGCCGGAGCGGTTGCTGGTGTCGCTGCTCACGTGGCCAGCGAGGGAGTCAGTCCCCTGCGGAGCCCGCGCAGCGCGGCCCGGCCGGCCACGCACACAGCAGCGCCTGCAGGGAAGGGAACACTTGTCCCGTGTTTACCCGCGCGCCCTCCTGAGCGCAGAGCGCCTGGAGAATGATAATCCCGGAGCTGCAGGGGGAATGTGCTGCCAGGAACCCGACATGAGCAAAGAGGGAATGAAATGCTACAGCGGTGGGGGTCATGGTGAGGAGGCCAGGGAGGGTATGGGCTTGCGTTGGTTGGAGGCTGCGTGTGCTCTGGGTGGCGCCTGCCTGCCTGCCTCCTTGGGGAGAATGAAAGATGACCCAGGGAGTCCTAACAAAGATTTATTTCTTTCTTTATGGTGATATTTTTTTATCTCTTATGTACTTAAACCAAAAAAAAATCATCTAAGACGTAATGAGATAGTTAAATAACACTTTATAGTGCAGGCTGAGGAATAAAGGAAAGTTTGGGGGATAATGTGAGGTAAATCTAATAACTAGGTATCTTAATTTTCAGTTTTAATTTTTCAGTTCTTTCAATTGTAGTGATGTGTTGCATGCTTTTCTCTTAAACTTTCCATCATATTTTTCCCTCTGTTTTCATGTTTTCATAGGCTGGATTTGGCTATGGCTTGCCAATTTCTCGTCTCTATGCCAGGTATTTTCAAGGTGACCTTAAACTCTACTCAATGGAAGGAGTTGGTTCAGATGCTGTAATTTATTTGAAGGTACGAATTTGATCATCCCATAAGCTAAAAATTTTGTGCAATTTGGTAGTTTATAGCAAGCAATCGTTCTGCTGACTAGGTGATTTTTTCATCTCTTCACTCTTTTCAAATTTGTAATTGCAGGTTTAATTAGATTTTATTCAAATTAGATATGTATAATTTAAAAACTGGTTATAAATCTGAACCTCGGCAGTAATACTGGTTTAGTATGCAGTGTCTTTTAGTTTCCCCATGTTGGATCTTTGCATTTTGTTGAATCACTGCAAGTGCTGAAATTTTAAAGGATAGTTGTGTGATAGGAGATGGTTTTTAGTTAATGTATTTTGGCGCTGTTTTGACCACAACAGAACCCAAAGAAGGCTATAACTCCTGACTAAAACACTTTCTTTCTGCACACTTCTTGTCCTCTGTGTAGATGATCACTGATCCTGCTGTTATTTTGCAGGAGATCCCAGACTCTTCAGGGGCTTAACCTTAACTTTTGAAACTGCTTACACTACCCGAGGATTTTGTTTGTTTGTTTAATGCTGCTGGTGTGCTGAGTGTTGTCAGGGTACTTCATTTATAGTGCAATCCTGCACTAAAATCATGTTCTCAGGGGTTTAATTTTGTGTATGAATGTGTGGAGCAAACCCTGGGAATAGCTTTTCTCAGAGCCAAGGCCACTGTGCCAAGCTGCTTCCTCATGGATTAGTGTTCTGACATAGTCTAAGGGAATCCAGGTTTACTGGGTAAGTGGAGTGTCCACGTAAACTGTCTGCCTCCTCTGTGAGAGATTTCCCCAGAATATTTTTGATCAAAACTTTTTTGTTTCTTAATGTCTCTGTAGACATAATTCCCTGGAAACAGGGGAAATATTTTAAGATGTTATTTTCTCTTAACTGGTACTGTAATTCTTTAGGAATGACAGTTCATAGCCAAAGTATTTTCAAAACAGTCTTGTGATGTGTAGCACTTGGATAACTTGGATAGTTAAGGCTTTTTTCAGTACAGAAGTTGGAGTTCTGGAACTCCTAGAGTATCTTCCTGTTTCTAAGTGATACCTCACCTCTGCTTTTCTTTTCTCCTAGGCCCTTTCAAGTGAATCATTTGAAAGACTTCCTGTTTTTAATAAGTCAGCGTGGCGGCACTACAAGACCACCCCTGAAGCAGATGACTGGAGCAACCCTAGCAGTGAGCCCAGGGATGCGTCTAAGTACAAAGCTAATCGATAATTTCCCACCTTTTGTGTCTCCTGAGGATGACCTCTGCATTCAGTATGAAGTTTCTGCTTTGTTCCAAAATCCTCAAACCACAGTAGCCAACTACTTCCAAACAAAGACCTAATCAGGACTTTGAAAAATAGTAAGAACAAAGGTTGGGACTTAAAGGAAGGTGCTAAGGGCACGTTTGGTGTGTGAGTTCTGTCTGCTTCACCAGAATACGCTTGGTTGTTTCAGTCGTGCATTGGCAAAAGGGATTGCACAGTGATTGCACTTAGGATTACAATGTTGTGTTTGAAATGGCCGGTTTTTATTACAATATAAGAATTGGCAAGGTGTGCAGAATCCCTCGTAATGATGAGCAGTATCTTACACAGCAATATGGCATAAGAGAGAAATTCTAGCCTAGTTAAACACATGCTTAGCAAATCCACCCTGCTGCATTTTATATTGCAGTCTCACCTGTTCTGGGAAGTCCCTTTGAGCTCTTCAGATCTTATTCTTAATGAACTTATAAATACATAGTTCTAAAAAGGGTTGTGCAGCTTTAAACTGATGCTTTCCCCAAATTCCCAAATCCATTTGTCAAGTGCATACAAAAATTATGTTCTTACAGGGCATTGAGACTTTCATGTCTTGGTATGCACCTTAATGATTTTCTTGACTTGCACAAGAATGCCAAATGGTAAATCACCTTAATTATGCATTTTGCAACCATTTTTCCTTATTTTGAGGAAAGATCATAAGTAGCTTGATAATCTCTCCATGCTTTCAAGAATTCCCATCAGTGTGGGGGAGGGGAAAAAATAAATTCCATATTTGTAGCCTGTCATTTTTGGGAGGGGTTAGGGAGAAGGGAAGGGAGAGAAATACTGAGAGGCCAGACAGCCAGTCAGACAAATGAATTTGCCTTAAGAATGGTGGTCACTTGAAACCCGATTAGTATAAAACCTGTAAATAGTTTGCAAAGTTATTTATATATTCGATGTCTAACAATAGTCTGGTAACCTGAATTTGTAGTGTATATAAAGATGTTGTACACCAGCTCTTGAAAAGTGTCATTGGTCTAAATACCTGAAACTGGATGTGTGGGAGGGATAAGAACAGAGAGATGATTCTTGATTTAAAAATACATGGAGGGGGAAAAACGTGTAGGTAACACCCTCTTGAATTTGTTGCAAGTGTTGTTGTTGGGTGTTAGCAAGCCGTCCTTCAGTAAATCTCTGCCAAATAATGTTTCTGATACTGTGGCCCTTCAGGAAATTCATGAGGGTAGAAGTTCTCGCAATATTGTAGCCATGGGAATAAAGGTACAAACTGTAAGCAACTCTGCACCGTCAGTTTTCCTCAAATGTTTGGATATTTTTTGACAGACACTGCAGATTTTAACAAGGAAAAATGAAGCAAATGATATTTGCTTGAACTGTGGGGGAGCTGTCTCTCAAGCCCTCCTGGATATATATTTTTGTAAAGAACTGATCTGTTAGGTAAACAGGGAAAAAGATGAGAAATCCCTAGATACTTTGAAAACCTCAGTATGACGTGATGCCGGCGCTCTGCCCTTGCACAACGCGCACCCAGGGATTCAGAGCGCCGCGCGCAGCCCGAGCGCGGCCGCCCTGCGAGGCCCCCGCTCGCCCTGCGCTCCGCTCGGGGCTGGGAGGGCGCCCTCCTCTCCTCCTCCTACTCGTCTCCTCGAGCAGCCTTGGCCAACGGTGCCCTCTTCCTCCTCCTCTCGTCGCGGCTGGG